GGCTAGCAGGTGGGATATAAATGATCTACCTTGGGGTATGATCCTCATGGCAAAATTGAGCGACCCAAGCAGTGATTGAAGTTCTTTGCGATTGCAATGACCTTGTAGCAGGTAATGTTCAATACTTGTCAGGGTACGCTCAATCTTGTCCTGAAGTAGACTAGCCTGCATGTGTATCGTGTCTAGTTGGATCCCCAAAAATTGCATGTTGGTATCTGGACCCAAAGTTTTGTGAGGGGAGACAGGAATATTGAGGGATTCAAACAAAGTCAACATGTGTTTCAAACTACTGGGTGGGAGTGTGTTATTCTCAATCGTGAGGAAATCGTCCAGATAGTGGATAACCGAAGGGCACTTGCACACATTTAGTAACAACCAACATAAAGCTTCTGCAAACCTGTTAAAAATACGTGTGCTGCTTTTGGAGCCAAAAGTTAGTCGGGTGAAGAAATAATACATCCCCTGCCATTTAATGCCATGTAGATGCCATAGGGAAGGATGCATGGGTAGTAATTTAAAAGCGTTTACCACGTCGGTTTTACTTAGCCATGCTCCTGTGCCAGCTTTAAGAATGGCTCCTATGGCATGGTCGATAGTGGCATAGTGTAGTGAAAATTCTTCGGAAGGAATTAGACTGAAGGCTGGGGACAGTGGAGGAATGTGGTGCAGATAAATCAATTATTAGTCTGGGTTTGAGTGAGGTCTTCCCTGTGACCACCCCTATGGGATTGGTTCTCCAAGATGTGAAGGGTGGGGAAAAGAATGGCCCCAACAGAAACCCTGGTTTCACCTTGGTCGAGATAAGAGTGTTTACCTACTGTGGATCGTCTAAGGTGGATTGTAGGTTGTCCCATTCCAGTGTACCGGAGGGTAAATGGACCAACCCAGTGTGAAACCCTTCAGTCATTCCCGTAATAATATAGTCAGTGAAATGACGTGATGGGTGTAGTTGTAATAGCGAGGTCAATAATGTCATGTTCACACACGTGTGATACGGTTTGGGGAATGCTTTATTTGGCACATAGTTTTGGCATGGGCCCTGAAACAGTGGGAACATACATGCATCAGCCTACAAGAGCTGAAACCACAATCCCCCGCATTAAAGTTGTGGCAAACCTGGGATTTACCTAGAAATACAATATCCCTACCCAGTTTGTCTTTTAATCCCCTAGCAGATTTTGGAAAGTTAGAGGTATTTTGATTTTGTTCAATTTATGCTGTGTTTGGGCAGAAATTTGTGTGATGTGCTGTAGATGCACAAACGCACAGGCTGGAGGCGTGAGGCCTGCAAAATGCCTGCAGAATAACTCCGTGTCCAATTTGCTCCAATTAATGCTTAAATTGAACTGAGCCAAAGCTGCAGCCACCTTTGCAGAAAAGGAACGATGGTAATCGTAAAAAGCGGTACCACCGTATTTGTGCCCCAGGTCCACCATCTTGTGCATGTATGCTTCCAGCTCTGCTCTTTTCCCCGGTTATACTGAGCAGTAAACATCCCTATAGATCCCAAAACCTAGTACAAATTCAGGGATGGTCAATTTTGTGTTCAGCCTCGAGTCTCTTGCCCTTAGCACAACTGATATATCCCCATATGCAAATGTCCTATTCTCTAGGATGTCCTGGGAGGCTATAAGCAATGAAACCAGGTTTACATCCTTGCCTTCCAGTATGTCCTTTTTAAGGTGAGATGGGACCATGTGCGAAGGATTAATAGCTTCAATAATTGATATAGAGTCCAATGAATTACCAGGTATGTCAGCAAGAGGGTGACTGGCAACAATTGGATTTGTAGCGGCCTGTTTAGCACCACTTGCTTCCAGTTTATCCATCCTATCGCTAATTGTGCTGATGGATGACATAAGAGAAGTCATCATGGCGTGAAACGCTGGCAATTGTGTGCCACTAGGGCCTTCCCCTGCATCAGAGCTGTCAGTGGTAGTGTTTAAAAGTATAAACAACTCCACCTTCCTAGTAGCTGGGAAAGGGATGCAGCGTCTTCTAAGTTCTGCAGTGAGACGTGGGATGGTCCATGATCTGAGTGATGAAAGACTTAACGTCTGTTCCAGGAACAGGTGTACCAGGCGTGCAGGGTAGCGAGAGTTCCTCAGGGATATCAGGAGTATTTGACATAACTGAAAAATATAAGGTAGCTTTAATCAATCACTCTTTAATGAATTGGGTGGGTACTGGTAAGGCTAGCTAAATACCAAGCGGCGAAACAATTATACTTCGTGATAGTGACAGATGATTCCTTACTGATTGCCAAGCAGCTTGAGATGCACTACCTATGCGTGGGCCGAGGGGAAAGTATGAGGCCACCGAACGTTGTGGCGGGGTGTTTAAAGCATAAGATAGAATGGGAGTGATCAGTGAGGCCCTCTCTATGCAACTATGCGAGACGGCTAGCTATGATTTGGCCCGAGGGACGTATTCCTCCGAGTATGAGGATGGGGGTGTTGGTCTCGCGGGACCACTAGCCTATGGATTAAGACCAGAATTTTTTTAACCTAATTGGGTCACGTAACCTAGGACCAGTACCACTCAGAACATAGAAAGTAATGGGTTGTGGCGTAGTACCTGATATGTGAGTCAGGCTGAGCTGTCAAAGTAGAGGTAACCAGCGATTGTAAGAGTATCGAGATGTTTACCTGTGGACATGAGATTTGATATATAAACGTCTGACTGTAATGTAGTGGTTTGGCCAGATCGTGGGCCCTAAAACAAGAACCTGCCCGACACTCTGCAGAGGGTAGATTTAAACGAAAGAAGATGGCGGCTTCCGTGCTTGTAAAAGCTACCGTCCAACGTATAATAACCTAAAAGAGTAAATTACACACTTAACTATTTTAATATGTATCATTGGCCTTCAAAATTTAAATGCATAATTAAATTCCAACCAACCTAGAAGTAAATA